AGTACAACAGTATGGTAAGGTAAATAATACAAAATTACTAATGTCCACTACAGACGACTTTGCACAAAATAAAATGAATCGTAAGAAAATATTGCTAGTCCAATGAAATGTGAGTAAAATTATGCAGCATTCAAGACTCATGAAATATAAAAATTCATCTCACCTGATCATAAACTTTCAGTGTCTAAGACAAGAAATACCGGTAGCAGTTAATTTGATTTGTTGGTGACCGCAAAAAGTCATAAATGGCATCAACCTGCTTCACAGAGTAAGTTGTGCAATGTCCTTCCAACACAGCAGTTGTCTGCCCATCATGTGGTTTCTTATTTGGTTTGGAATTTGTATATTTGTCTTCATAAAAAAAGTGCATAAAGTGGTCCCAGTTTTCAAACAATCTTTTTAGGCATCTTGCAATACTAAGCCATCTGGTGCAGACATGCTTGATACTTTTCATCTGTTCTGCACCATACAGGACTTGCAGGTTTTTCAATTCACACTGTCTCTTCAAACTTTTCTTGAAGAAGTAACAAACGTCAACCAGGACCTCCTCAACTGGGGGTAGACAGGAAGCCCCACTTTTTAGCTGCAAGATGCACCAGATGGAGGCAGCGTCATGCCAGATAAATGTCTTGCTCTCCTTTAATAAAACTGTATACTCCATTGTATTGGCCAGTCATCACATTGGCATTGTCACAGCCAAATGCAATGCAGTTTACCCATTGTATTGGCCAGTCATCACATTGACATTGTCACAGCCAAATGCAATGCAGTTTACCCATGAAATGCCCTGTGAATTCAATTCATCGGCCATGATCTTAAATATATATTCTGTCCTGTGGCCGAGGATGCTTTGTACACTGGCAAAGCTAGGAGATAAGAATTTACAAGGCCACTGTATCCTTCAATGGTGACCTCTGGAGAGTACTGCTTTTTGTGAGTCTTTACTACCATCAGTAGCAATACTGAATGGCAATCTCGGCATCCTAATGGCTTCATAGTCATTGCAGACATTTCTAAAATCATAATCATAGCTGTTGCTATATCTCTGCCACATTTTATATCTGTTATGAATAAAAGAAAATTAAATAATAAAGATATTAATGAAAATGTCTGGTATGACACTAAAATAATTATTCCTATGGCACAAATCATCTTTAAAGCTGCACTCAGAAATTTGCTCTTTTTATTTTATTAAAACATAGCTTCTACACAAGCTACTTGATTTTGGAAAAGTGATTTTGAATTTAACATTTGACAAAAAGATGTCAAGGATGTACTTTTTACTCAGTGCTTCTTTAAAGGACTACCTGTGCAGAACAGTTGGATAATGTATTTTATTTTAAAAACCTTCTCTAGTTTTCTCCGTTTTCACAATTGCTGCGGTTCTAGCGAACAAAATAATTATGTAACAAAACTACATCTCACACGCCTGGAAGGCTGGAAGGGGATGGTCGAGTGAAGTTATTGCGAGGGCAACTAGACTAAATATTACTGTTGACGCATCTAGGTAATTCATTGTGACGCACAAAGCAACAATATGACAATCATTACCGTCTTTTTGTTCATGTACAATAACCATTTAACAAAAGTGAACAACATAAAAAAAAAAGTAGCCTACAGTTCATGAATCTTCTGTCATTTACGGCGCCATTGTGGGAAAACAAGTAGAACTCTTCTGTCTTCAAAGATACGTTATAAAAGTTGCCCAATTGGATATATTTAGATTTAAATAATCTTTTAAAAATTTTATAGATCTGTCTACTTTGTCTGATATTTCTTTCTAGCCCACTGGATCCATGCACAGCAATGTAAAGGTGGTACTCGCAAGGGACCTCAATATCAGGGGGCGCATTCGCCCAGGGCGCTGCCTTTCCTTTGCACGGTTGTGCATCCATTACGTACGTAACGCGGCTAGAATTATCGATTTCTTTCTCAATAAATAGCTGGTGATTTACTAAGACTAAGAGGCAAAAAGCGGGAAAGTAATGAAATATATGTCAGTAGCGAAATAAACACCATTGCAAACAGATGACTAACAAAGCAACTTGGTTCCATCAAGATACATAAAATCACTAACACTGCCTCTCATTTTACTCACCACAAACCAGAGTCAACTTAGGTGGCATCTACTAAACAATTAAGTGCCATCCAGTAAACTAGAGCTGACCAACCATAGACCATTTAAATAGCTTATTTGCCTACTATGACTCACAATTGTCGAGAAAAAGTCAATCCACTTGCATATGAAGGGGGCTGTGGAGGGGGTGGTCGACACAGGTGCCACTTTAAAAAAAAAATTATATTGAGGGCGGCATTTTCGGCGAGCTGAAGAGTTTTTTTTTTATTTTTATTTTTTTTAAAACTCATTGGTAGTGGGTGGCACAACTTTCTAGCTAACATATCGCAACATAACCACTGGTCCGCTCGAAACGTTTCCCAGATCTGCTCATTTATGAGGACACGTTACACATCACCCAACGCTTGGACATTGGTCGCTCTCTCAGTCTCTGTTGTTGTTGGAATTCTATTACGTAGCCGAGTCTCTCGCTTCGCACCTTTTTTTTGCCCATGCGCCGTTTCCCTGGTCTGGTCTGCTGATTACCAAAGTCATTCTCTGATACACTAAAGTAATACGTCGGCATAGCTAGAGCGACGTGGCCTCCACGGTCTTGTCATGTTTCTGTTTAGTAAGGCTGTGGGCAGCAACGCAGTCGCCGCGTCTTACCCGTGTATAGGTTTACTTTAAGCAGATTTCTGATCGTTAATGCTGCATAAACTTTATGGTTTGTGTCCGCTGCGGTGGCCGGGCAAATGAACGCAGGACAAATAAATCAACAACTCGCCATAACACATCCAAACACATGACTAGTGAAAGTTAACACGCAGAAAAGTGAATAACGGTATATAGAACATAGACAGCTGAACCCAACAACTGGGTTTGAAAAGGCCTTGCTGAGATAATCGTCATTCTTGACTTGTTCTTGTAAATTTATTTTCACTGCAAATTCGCAATGATTGGTTCCGAAAGATTTCAACTACTTTTATAAATATGTAAATGTTTTTAATGTGCTGAAAATTATTTTTACAAAATTGTGTAAATAACCATTTTTATTATATTTCTTGGGCAGATTTTTGTGCCAAGGAAAAAGTTTAAAATTGGTGGTTCTGTTCTGATTAAGCCAAGCTCTCTAGAGGAATAGTTGAAATTAATTCATTATGAATGCAATTTTTCTTATTTAGAATACCTAATTAATTCATAAAGTACTGTGTGATTATTTTTTTTATCTTAAACAGTACACATAAATAATCTTAAATAAAGGATTTAATTTTAATAATTAAATTAATATTATTACTTTTCTAAAATTCAAATGAAAACAATCAATGTATCAAAATCATATTCATTACTAGATTTTAAAAAAAAATGATCTACGAAAATGGCTAAAACTGAAAAAGAAAATAAGAAAGAAAAAAATCTACCTCTCCTAAGAGAAATTAATAAAGCAAAAAATAAAAAAAAACAACTAAAAAGAATAAAATTATGAATCTATGAAATAACAAGGAGAAAAAACAATTAACAAAAAAAAATAATTCTCATACTTTTATTGGTATCAAACCGGCTCCGAAGCTATTTAATCTGTACGGAGCCACTCCGGGTGCGAATAGTCATTGGCGATTATAGGTAGCCGGGTACCTATAGATGCAGCCAAAAATACGATAGACTTGCAAAACCTGCTAAGTTGCATTAGCATTCACTTTCAAACCCTACTAAGTTACCAGCCAATGGCAGTAGTTGTTTTAAACAAAATTTGTGAAAAAGAGCCAATCACAATTTAGCTTGCCGGCACATGACTTTCTTTCGAAACTATTCAAGATTGCTGAACACGACACTAGTTTTAGTACAATCGGCGAAAACGCTAACATGTCCCCATTAAAACTTACAAAAAGAAAAGAACTCCAGATTTAAAGGATCCCTCTGCTGATAATGTTTATATTTTAAACGTTTATTACTTTATGCAAGATGGCGTCCCCACCTTAAATGCATTGTTATTGTTACGCCAATGTAACCCAATAAAATTGTCAACCCGTGTTGTTTTTTCCACCTAGGACTTACTTATGAATTGAAGACTATTGTTGTGATATAGTAATTGTATGTGTTATTGTCTGTTACTTTGTGTTTTTATTTAGTAATTTTATGTGTTATTGTCTGTTACTGTTACTTTATGTTGTGATATAGCAATTGTATGTGTTGTGGTCTATTACTAGTGTTACGTGATTGTTTGGATAAGGTATCATAATATAAGACTAAGGTTCATTAAAATCATGCAGTACAGTTTAAAGAAAATGTAAAAGAGCACCCCCCCCCCCTCTATATCTTTTAAATTTGTTGTGGGCTGTCAAACTTCCTAAGTGATTTAGACCATTTTCAAATCCTATTAAGTATTTTAAACCTCTTTCAAAAGCTGCTAAGTATATTTTTAAACTCTTTCAAAAGCTGTTGCTAAGTAATAACTTTATAATGCACTATAAATGCAAATATGCCCATTTAACTATATTTTATGTTAAAAAACATATCATTTACAGCTAATCTTACAACTGGAACAAAAACCAGAATCCTAGGATTAGCGCATCATTGTGTTTTAGAAAAATGTGTTTTTCTCAAACTCAATCTAAAGTGACTTAGCAGGGTTTGCAATTGGACTCCTCATTTATAAAAAAAAAAAAAAAAAAAAAAAAAAAAAAAAAAAAAAAAAAAAAAAAAAAAAAAAAAAAAAAAAAAAAAAAAAAAAAAAAACAAAAAACATAATTAAAAAAGAAATTAGGCCTACATATGATTCATTATATTATTAGATCTATTAATCATTAAGTTGAAAAGAAGAAAAAAAAGGGAAAAGACTCTCACTCTCAATCAAAAGGCTAACTCAAATTGAAATTGCCCTATTAATTTAATTAATTTAAATCTAAGATAAATGCTTTCTACATTAGATAGGTCATTGCTATGAGAGCTGCCCTCCCAGCGTTTGGTCCGTGAGATCGCCCAGGACTTCAAGACCAACCTGCGTTTCCAGAGCTCCGCCGTCACGGCCATCATGGCCCTCCAGGAGGCTAGCGAGGCCTACCTCGTCGGTCTCTTTGAGGACACCAACTTGTGCGCCATCCACGCCAAGCGTGTCACCATCATGCCCATGGACATTCAGCTGGCCAGGCGCATCAGGGGCGAGCGTTGTTATTTACCCACTCCCACCAACGGTCCTTTTTTAGGACAACCACCCCCAGGTTTAGCCGAGTCCGGTTGTTTCCACTGACTAACTGCCACACGCACGCACGCTATTTTAATTGTTCAAAGAAAGCCTAAACAACACATCTAAAAGAAAGAATTGTACAAACAGTGCACTGTAGTACTGTGTTAACACTACCACTACCGGTATAATATACTGGTAATAATAATAATAGGAACAATAGAATCATTACCCGCCAGAGAATGCTGGCGGGTGTTCATCAAGTAGGCACCGGCGGTGGAGAGGGGTGGGGGGGGGGATGGTGCGGAGATCTAATAATAATGGTCATAATATTGATGGTAATAATAATAGCAATAGTACATGCACATGAAAAATGAATGTTACATAAGAATTAGCTGACGTCATTATGGCATATGATATATGACGCAAGTAAGCGAACTCCCGCCATTAAAACAACAAAACTGCCCATCGGAAGACAAATAACTTAACTCCACGACCATACCCAATACCATGCCCGTAGTACGAGAGTACGGTATGTACAAGTACAACACACCACACCACTTCACATGGGGGTGGGTTGGGACGGGAGGTTTCAGTGATAATTATGGCTACAAGTCGTGAATTATGATCATTAGAAAACCAGCGTCATTATTTTCATTATGTATCATGTATTATATGTACGTCCGTTAGAAAGAAGTTAGTGCAAGCGAAACAAAAAGAAACAAGTTCATTCTTAGTCTTAGTTAAAAGAAGAAAAAAAATGAATGACGGAAAAATAACATACAAATACAATGCCGCAAACACCATCAGTATCAGTATCAGTATCAGTATCAGTATCAGTATCAGTATCAGTATCAGTATCAGTATCAGGTATCAGGTATCAGGTATCAGGTATGAGGTATCAGTATCAGTATCAGTATCAGTTATCAGGTATCAGGTATCAGGTATCAGTATCAGTATCAGTATCAGCTCAGGTTTTGGATAGAGAGAAGGCAGCGTTCAAGTAAACAATTTTCATTGGTCGCGTTTTTCTACCGCCAGCCAATCAACGCGCCGTCCGCCATGTTAACAATGTGGTGGGCTAAAAAGGGAGCTACTGCCGACCAGTTGACCAGTCGTCTGGGAGCCACACCTTAAGCAAGACGTGGACACGATGGATCGAATTCAACGTAACGTGGTGCATTTTTATCGCTCGCGACTACAAATCCACCACTCCTGGCTTCGTCACTGGCCTCTTAAAAAGATTTGACATCCCTCCCCTTAAAGACAGACGAGACGGACTCCGTCTGACATTCTTGTATAAAGTGATCATGGGACTGGTGCCGGCCATCCCAGCAGGCGCGTACCTCAACCCACAGAAGCCGGGTAGACTGATCAGAGCAAAACGCTAACTGAACATTGACTTCAGCACTGACATTCCCATAAACAATTACACCAGAAACAATGGCAAATGCTTCAAAGAGCCTCAGTGCAACACAGTGCGGTATCAACAATCTTTCTTCCCACGCACAAGAATAGCATGGAACCACCTGAACGATGCCACTGTGAACTCGACATCGGTCGAAAAGCTTCAAGGCTGCCCTGGCATGAGCCAGGAGCTGTTAAAATAGCAACATCATATCCCCAACCGTTGCAAAGATGCCAGTAAATGGATGCAGCAACGACAAATTACCAGAACCAGAAAACCTGCCAAAAAATAAAAAAAATAAATAAAATGAGTTTTACCTTTTAGTTGCTGTGTTCAGTGTCAGTAAGTTCGATCTTTAATCAATCGAGAGCTTCTTTATTCTAAAATGCCACCTAACAAAAATATTAATAAAAAAAACAACAACAAACAACAACAAAGAAACGGGTCTCGCTTTCAATCATTGCTAAGAAGTTAACTCTTAGCTTGTATTGCAATTGTCCTCCTCATTTGCTCGACTCAACCATTACCAAACAAAGTCAAAAACTATTTATTATTTACTAGAATGAATGACCCGATGTTATCGGGTTAATAATGGTAAGTCCTTTGCGATAATTTCTATCTGATATTGCAGAAAAATCATCATATTCCTAACTTTAAAAAGAATTATCTATGTAATGATATTCTCGTTTCTAAGATCAATAAGTTTTGAGAAGTATTTATCCGCAATTTATTATACGCTTACCCTACTCCCACTCCCGCCCCTACACTACTTCCCCCCCCACTCTAAACATGACCTTATATTACCCGATCTAAATATCATTAATTATATCACTTTTAATAAGTTAATTGAGGGGCGATTTCTACGCTAGAGAAATACTTTAGATTTACTACTTTTGGTGCCGTTGAACTACAACATTTTTTTCTCTAAAAATTGTGAAAACATAATCTTAAATTTACAACAAAAACTCATTATCTGATATACATGTAAATATATTTTATATTAAGGAATTTCATATATTAATGTCTTCATAAAAAATTCAAACAAACGTATGCCTAGTTTTTTAAATTATACAGTATAAAAAATCGTAAAACAAACAAATCTTTTATCTAAAGAAGAATCTCACAACCATTTTCCACGTCCATAACAGACTTGATTGTCTTTTTTTTTAAATTGTTCATCTCATAAAAATACACACCTACTTTACTTTTCGCAAAGTAAAAACAAAAATATCTTTCTATTTTTTAAAAAAGAAAATATTGACCCATCACCATTTAAAAAAATTAAATTTTCAAGTGTGTAAAATGATTGGGTTTTGAAATTCATTTACTTATATAAACGTACCCACGTTTAGTAAACGCCGTTAATTTTCTTAATTGGTAAAAATATGTTTATTTATAAAAAGAGAATATAACATCTCTTTTTTTTTCACAAATGTATTACCAAAGGATTTAAATATATTGTCATCCACGTAAAAATGTACACATCCTATATCCCACCTCCTATAGGTATGTACCCAAGATGTTTAAAATAGACTTGGAATATTCCACAGATGTTGTAACATCACAAAAATACACTGGCTATATCGCATTTTTATGGTTAAATTTAAATTTACCTTACTTTAAATATAAGAAATATGTTTTTTGGTTTTTACAATTCCCCGATTTCACGGTTCAATCTTTTCTGGGTCGAGGCAAATGATTGGTACGTACATTTTTATGAGGATACCAACATCCGAAACCTGTTACTGATACAGAAATGAAAACTGGCACATTTTTTTTCTTCTTCCCAATTACAGAGAATGTTATTAAACAATTTTCCAAAATATGCTATCCGTTTAATTAGGGCGAAGAAAAAAGATTGGTACATTTTATAAGAAAATGCATGTTTCTGATTGTAGCCGTGTGTTGAAGAGACAGCTGACGATTTTAAACATAGATTGGGTTTAAAAAAAAACAAACAACAAAAACAACAACAAATCTTAAGAAAAGGTTCGAAGCAAATGGATCCGAAGAAAAATCGTAAGAAAAAGTCGTAAGAAAAAGACTTAAGAATCAGGGACAAAATATGAAAAGAACAAATGGTAAAAGTTAACAATGTCTTGAAAGACATTTGAATTTAACAGCTGACAAATAAACGTGTTAAATAACTCCGCAATGACAGGTTATGACAAAATAGTCTTAACTAAGAACCCAGATGCATGATGACCATAAAATAGAATGACCATATAATGATGACAATAGAACCCTCTCAATCCCAAGAACCAAAATTAAGACCATCGGTGAACGCTCCTTCTACTTCCATGGGCCCACGTTCTGGAACCAGCTCCCCTTCCATATCCGTCATTGTGAAACCTCGTCCACTTTTAAAAAATCCCTTAAAACCCATCTGTTTAGGTCTGCCTATGACCTGTGATGCACCCTCCTTGCCCTGCCTCATTTTCTGTCTCGGGTTAATCCTGTAATATAGGCCAAAACGTGCCAAAGTATCCTCGTTTTATAGCCATTTTAATTGTTTCTATAGTATAGTAGTTACTATCCTAATGTCTAATTTTTATTTTAGTTAGTTTACTTACATGTTTTAAAAATTGTAAAGCGCTTAGAGCTTTAAGGTAAGCGCTATATAAAAATGGCTAAATAAATAAATAAATAAATAATACATGTTATACAAATGACAATTAAAATTATATTCTTGTAACACTATTTAATTATAAAATAAATCACGTTGCTGGATTTAACGTGCAGCACGTACGCCGTCCTACATCCAGAGTCAGTGTGAGATGCGAGGGCCAACATGATGGCCTAGAAATGACTATTTGTCACAGCTGTGAATATGCGGACAATTAAAGGGAGACAAGCAATATGGCTAACATTTCTTGTATAATATACAGAGTTTTGGGACTTGGGAGGAACTGGCCAATCAGAGTTCTAGTTCAATAAGGAGTTCATTAGGACTGGACAGAGGAATGGCAGAATAAATGGAGACCGTTGACATTGCATCCGATCAAGATTTTGTTGACGACATCATCATTAACGATATCAAGTCAAAGAAGATTGTATTATTTTGAAGTTTAATAGTCATTGAAATTCGTGTTATACAATTACACGGATCTTCAGATTCTGTGAAACGTATATATTCTTTTGAGTGTCGAAATTAAAATCAATCATTATTTGAACCCACATCGTCTCGGGTATTATTTATAACTATCATATAGTTACACTATTGTACTGTCGTCCTGGTATGGTGTCTAATAAAATAATAGTAATAATAAAGTTTATTTGAAAAACACGCTTCATCCCCAATAGCTCGAAGCGCGGTGCAAAGTCAACCGTATTTAAAAAAAAGAAAAAATGAAAACAATCGATACTTTACCACATTTAAAAACAAACGCAACACTACAAAAACTAGATACGACCAAACCAAGTCAAAGTCTTTCATCCCTTTCAACCACAAACAACACAAGGCAATATACATTAACTGGAAAAGATGGTAGACAACATCACCCCAGAAGGTGTTTGCGAAATAGAGGTGTTTTTAAATCGGTAGCATAGCCGGACAGTTACTACAATGTAATTAAAT